AAGAAATCGCCTGCCTGAGCAGACACGGCGCCTGAGTTTGATCCTCCAGGATATTTCACCTCGTTCGCTTCACAATTCAGATTTAAATTTAAATAAAATTCGTAAAGAGAAGCCTGGAGCAGCTCTTCATATTCAAAAGTACAACTTTCCTCATGTTTTAAATACTTTTTAGTGTCAGAGTGTGTCAGAGTGTGATGAAACTAAAGAAACTCTTCACCCCAACTCGCAGACCGACCGCCAAGTCGACATCTGTGCTTCACCGTTCAGCCCGTTCAGCTCCCTGGATCAGCACCTGACCTCTGACCCAGAGGGCTCAGGCTGAGCTCTTTCCCATCACCTGACCAGTCACGTCAAGTGAGAAGATAAAAGCAGACGAGATCCTGAGTACCAGGACGTTAACCTCACGCCACTCAGCCACGCCTCGGATAAAAAGCTCGTCTTGATTTTCATGTTGGGAGGGGATGTTCCTCGTGGTCGAGCTCTGCAGATTCCTGAAAGAAGAAGGTGCAGTACGCGGTGATGTCATCTGTTGCTTTCTTTCAGTCCCAGTTTCGTTCTGCAGCGCCGACTTCAGACGTGTTGCTTTGAGGTCAAAGGTGGTTACTTAGTCGTCTACGTATTAATCGAAAGAATCTTTCTAGTTAGTGACTTTCAGCATATCGCTTTAAAATCGACATCGCAGTGAGCCGAGTGGAGTCAGGGATGAGGCCTCCACTCAGGCTCTTTGTACCGCAGTGATAATGTGTTTTTTTCTCACTGAAACCCAAAAACACTCGAGTGCTGCAGCGTGAGTGGTGTCAACGGCGTTGGCGAGTGTTTGCCTCCCACCCAGCGCCGCAGGCATCAGATCAAAAGCAAAATTTAATTTTGCTCTCTTTTTTTTTGTTGTCGTCTTCACCTCGATAAAACCCGAGTGGTCCGACATCAAAGTCCGGAGCCTCTTTTTATATCGTCATCAGCCATCATCGCGCCTCAGTGTGCGGCTCTGGTTTCAGGTTCAAAGACGGCTGCAGTCTGAGGCTCAAACGGGCCTCCTTGTTGTTCAGCGGCTTCCTTTCCCTTTAAAGCGTTCGGCATCCGGAGCGGCCATTAATGCTGCTCTGCATTCACGGGCGAACAACACAATCAGAGGCGGACGAGCTCGATCGGAGCCAATCAGATCAGAATGGCGATTAGCTGCTGGAGCGAGGCGGCGATCACACGGGGGTCCGTGCTGCCACGGCTACTGAAGATGAAACACTAATCAGGACGTCTGAAGGCTTTGCAGGAGGACCGCGAGGTGTTCACAGTGGCCGACCTTCACTTTGCATCCCGGAGATCAATCCTGAAAGTCCAAAATCCAG